CTAACTTAAGATGGCGCCAGGCTCAAAATCTTTCTGATTTGTTCTGGAAAAAGTGGATCAGCGCTTATCTACCCTCCTTGCAGGTCAAACGAAGGTGGACAAATGAGGCCCCGCAACTTGCAATCGGCGATTTTGTCCTAATCGTCGACAAAGTGGCACCACGCGGACTCTGGAAGAAGGCCATCGTTGAAAAGATACCTCGATCCAACGAAGGTAAAGTGAGAGATGTCGTGTTGAGAACACAATTCGGAACACTGATGAGGGACGTGCGCAGCTTGTGCCTGCTGGAAAACCACGAACCACACAATGAACGACGTCGCTCTCACGAAGGATACCAGAAAACCTTGCGGGGCGTGTACTTCCTTCCGTAGGTATTCGTTTTTATACCATTTCGCTCCATTTAACATAAACATAACCATATTTATCCTTCTTTAACAATAGACGCATTAGCTTGCCGTTTATACCCTTGGCATTATCGTTATTCTCAATTACTTGTCATTTTATATTAATTAACACCATACTGTTTATCCTATACTTGATTGTTCCCCATTTTGGTGGTTGCGCCCCTTTTTTTGTTTCTCCTAAACCCCTTTTATTCGTATAAATGTCCTTTACTGGTCCCGCGAAGATTGACATTATCCCGCTGTCTCAGATTTGGAAACTTTGTGTGTAAGAGTACTATTTATGTTTTTCCTAATCTCCAATAATAGAACCGCACGCGACTTAACGATACTGTTATCGATTTAAGGGAGATTGCATCTACTCAAGTTAGCAAGAAAGAACCGGGCCGGCCTTAAGCATCTGGTTAATTATGGAATCCGAATATTCTACAATATGTATGAGTCTACTAGGGAAGCAACTCAGCTTTCAATAGATTAGAAAATCTCGGAAAACAATTGGAAGGCAGCGGTCATGAGGATATCGGCTGCTTTCAATGCTGACCTGCTGCAAACTTGTGAGGGTAAAGATATCGTGGCAAAGGATCCAAAGGCTTCTAACGAACGCAAGTAGGGCAAAATAACGAAAGGACTAGTTTCAGCGAAGGTCGATCATTTCAAACATCGATTAGAAAAACGTGACTCAAATTTTCAACACGGACTTTGCAGGAGAATTCAGTCGTCTTAAAGAACCATCATAGAAGCTAACTGTAATAACTCAGGATTACCTTAATATATTCGGTCCATGTTATTCGGTTTATTTTCGACGGCACCTGTCGTACCTCAATTATAAATTCCATCGATCCTTTTCAGAGTCTTAAAACTTTTA